CTGCTGCAGAACTGGCTTTCTGCTTTGCTAACCTACTGGCATTTTTTTGTATTTCTGTTTTGAAGAGCAGCCGAGCAAGGATTAAGTCAGAGTATTATTCTAGATAACCTAAAAGCTCCGTGTTGCCTCTGTACTTCACATTGTGGCATTGTCTCAGATTGAAAATTTTAAGTTATGTTAGAATCATTAAATTCCTGCACCATGACTGTATCTGGCTCTATATAGCTATGTATTTATGAGTAGTGTAGTGCATAGGTATATACACAAGCAGAAGAGCACAGAGGTGTATGTATATTGTCAAGCGCGCACGTCTGTGTATGTGTACAAGTACATCACCCACCTACTATGGTGTTTATGTACAAAAATACAGAGCAACAGAGTAAAGGACACAATAGAAATATCTAGAGGGGCAAATTAGGAAATATATAATATATTTCAAATACATTTGATTAAGATAAGATATGAGCCTCTGGAAGATCACCAAACTAAAGTGAAATATCTGTGATTTGTTTAGTTTGAAAAAAATGTATCTATCTCAGTGTGTGCGTATAAACTTTGTTGTTACTACTTAGAAAGAAAATAAACTCTTTGCTGAAAATATTCAATTTAGTGGGTTGTGGATCAGCTGAAGTGGATTAGGAATCACCGTTGACTTTTAGATGGAGAGCATGGGATTTTCAAGAAAACGCAGCAGCACATCCCTGGAAAGAGATCAACTGAAACTTCATTTTGTTTCCTCTTCTCTATTCAAGTTACAAGGAATGATTTTGAAAGAGTCGCCGTACGCAGCTCTCCCTGCCTAAGCTCTCATCAAGGGCCCATTGCTGTTGCAAGCAGACAGGTCAGTGAAGCAGAAGCAAAAGCTATGCTTCACACTCACAGCGCTGTACCTCTTCACAGTACAATCTATTTAAGCTTTGTTGCTCATAACTGAGGACAGCTTCAGATGGCACAGCTGCATACTCTTTACACTGTAAAGTCATTGTTCAGTTGTGTGAACTCTTGCCTTCCCTCCCCCACCCCCACCCCCCAAAAAATCACATAGAAATCTTGGTTCATTAAGTGTGAAGAGAACCTGGTGCTCATTAGTAAGCTTGGGAACCAAATCTCTTTGAACTTTCTGCATTTCACTACAATTAATTTGGGACTGCAGTTACAGTGACAGGAATGCTATCTATAACCCCAATACAACCATAACAGAACAGAAAGGTTCAACAAATGGAGGCAAGATTCAAATCACCCTCTAATTCTTACTTAAATGTGATTTGTGGTAAGGGCAATGAGACCAGTTCCAGAAAATGTACGCAGTATGGCCCTTTGCAGTCTTCTAGATATCTGCCAAAAAATGGGAGATTTTTAAAACCCACTGACCCTATCACAATTCTTAATTTTCAGGTCTACTGTGATGATGATCTCGGTTCACCTAAAGTTCACTTTGCCACTGTCTAATTCAGTTATAACTATCCATCAAATGCCAGAAATACATGCTGTGCCTGTTAAAAATTAAAGACCTGTTGATTTGACATGGGTACAATGATAACCTTCTACTCTCACATCAACCACAATCACACAAGCACACAAAAGATGAAAGCATATGCTGCAGATGAAAAACAATGTCTCTTTTCTTTTCTTCATTCACTATTCCATGGAAGATCCAGATGATCAAAACCTCATTTGTGCTGTCTGAATTCATTCCACCCCACAACGGAATACCTCATCGCCCATTTATCCTGCATTTTATCTGATCCACTGAAAACAAGAGAAGGGGATTTACAGTTGGCAGAAGGAAAGGTTTTAAGCCAGCCAACCTAATCATTACTTCTACATTGTCATTTCTGTGAAACACACTGGCCTTTAGAGTTTCTTTCCTACAATTGTTTTGGATTTGAGGCTTCTTCAGTGCTTCCTTGTATACATGGAAATCTCTCTGACTCTGTGTGTGCCAGCGTAACCCACACACTTAGTGAGGTTCACTGTCCCATGAAGTGGCACTTAGACCACTTACAGTCAGAGGTAAGAACAAGGGAGCTCTACAGTCTAAACTGGGAGCCAGCTGGCTTTATAGCTTAAGCTGTAAAGACTCCTACACTAAGCTCCAAAAATGCCAGGTTCAAATCTACCTGGTGGTGGTTACACCAGATGACCTCCTCATTGCTGTTCAGTTGCCTCCTTGAAACCCATAGTTGTTAAAGATCATCAGCTCCAGATAAACAAAGAGGTATATGCACCACTGATCCAAAGATTGGAGCTTATTCAGTGTTTCAGAAAGGACTTAAAAGAGTATTTTGTCCGAATTAGATTTAGGATCATATTCTGATAACTTTACTCACCTTGAGTAAGTACTACTCAGTGTGAGTAAAAGCATCAAAATCTTGCCCTTAGATTGCAAGCTCATTCAGACACAGACCTGTCTTCCTGTTTGTTCAGAGTTGAATGAATAAGGACCTCAAAAAAGGTCATTTTTTCTTGTACCAAACACTGCTGAAGCCTCTAGCAAAGTCATCTGCACCTCCTCTCCTTTGCAGCTGCTGATGGCAATTACTTTTAAGAACACTGCCGTTTTCATTAACACTGCCTTTGTGACTGACCCAAAACTAATATAAGCTACTAAGAGGAACAGAGGAGGGTTTGTTTTCACAGTACACTAACAACAATCCACAGAGGAATGTCTAACCAACTACAATCCTACCATTACTTTTAAGTTGTCATTTTAAACAAGTCAATGCTAGTCATATTAGCAATCCATCCATAACATCTCTTTAAATCAAATGCCATTTTTCTCAAAGTTTCATGCATCAGCTTTCACTTTCCTAAGACTTCTGGAAAAGTTCTAACCTCTTAAAATTGGAAGACTGCACTGTAGAACCAATATGCCAAGCTTCACTATTGGCCGTAAAATTACTGCTGCACCACCAGGGTAGGAGAAATTGCCAAAAGGAAAAGAACTTGGAATGGAAGCAAAAAATTATCTTACCAAAAATACTGCCATGAGAAATATTAAGTTATACTCACAAGAGCTAATTTTAGCAATAGACAACAGTGAAACAGTAAATGCTCACATCTAAATAGTATTTCTAACTGGGAAATCTACTTTGTTAAGAACTCAGTATATGGAATAAGGTGGAAATAGAATGTTGGCCTTAAACGGTGTAATGCCTCGGAAGTCAGTGACAAAACTCCCAGGGCATATCTACACTATGGAGAAGATTGACCATCTGGAGGTCGATCTTCTAGTATTCAATTGAGCAGGTCTAGTGTAAACCCCCAAATCAAATGCTGAGGGAAGCCCCCACTGGCATCCTGTGTTCCTCATTCTGTGAGGAGTAAGTGAAGAGGATGGGAGAATATACTCCTGTCGGCCTACCGCAGAGTAGACGCTGCAGCAGCTCAGCTTAAGGTAAGCCAAATCCAACTACACATTTTTTATAGACGTATCGCGTAGTGTAGCCCAGGTCCCATTGACTTTAATGGGCCAGAATTTAACCCATAGCTCTTTAATATAATTGAAGAACTTTGAAGCGGTGATAACTTTAAGTTGCAAAGGAGAACATCCTCAAATTCTCCAGAAAAATGTAATAAGAGAAATGGACACTATAAACTGAAATGTGACTAAGTTTAATTTAGCTTGTAAGTGCCATCACCAGAGGGTGTCAGATGGATCAATAGGGAGAGTAAGAATTTAACCCATAGCTCTTTAATATAATTGAAGAACTTTGAAGCGGTGATAACTTTAAGTTGCAAAGGAGAACATCCTCAAATTCTCCAGAAAAATGTAATAAGAGAAATGGACACTATAAACTGAAATGTGACTAAGTTTAATTTAGCTTGTAAGTGCCATCACCAGAGGGTGTCAGATGGATCAATAGGGAGAGTAAGATAAGAAGAATATGTTTGTTTGTTTTTGCGGGGGGGGGGGGGGGGGA